CGTTAATGCAATAAACAATAGAGACAGAAGTAAGAACTGACTCGTCAGTAATCGATAATAGATAAAATACTTATTTCACAGTCAACATTTTTTTTAATTCCTTTCTTTCCTTTATTAAATACAGTGAATGCAATTAAGTTATAAGATATTCAAATTAAAGTTTCTTACTAGCAACATTGTTCCGCAGTTTTACCGCCCTTTTTGCTTCTATTTCTCTCTGTCTAGCTAGTTTACGCTCCTCGCGTAATCTCCTGGCTTCCTCCGATTTCTTACTTCCGCTAATCGTCCCAGTATTCTCAACGTTTTCTTATGAAAAGAAATTTTAAATAAATAACATATTCACATCTACATACAGGAATGGGCTATATAACTGAGTTTTCCGCAAAAAATCGTAGAGACTCAACTTTTCTTTTAAATTGAAGGTAAAGAATCAAGTTACTATTAAACAACAATACTAGTAAACAACATCGTAGAAAAAAAGTTATCCAAGTCCGTGTACGTAGTCAAACTGCTAATTTTTTAATTTTAAACACACTTAATTGATAATTATTTTCCAAACACGGGCAATTCTCGACACAAATTTCGTGATAACAACATTTTTTGGAGTAGTGTAGTAGTTTTAATTGCAAAAACTTACTCAATTGTTCTAGCGGTTGAAAATCTTCTAGAGGCTGAAACTCTGAATCTTCCCAGCCGGTCTCGGAAGATTCATTTTTCTCTTCACTCTGTGCCGCTTCTTCCTCCTAAACGCAATTATTTAAACTTTTCTTTCAATTTTAATGACATCATCGCAATGATTGAAATGTTAATAGATAACATTTAGAAAATAATAGGTAACGGAAGAAATACAACGCACCGGTTCTTCTTCCAGGCTCGTCCATTGTTCGCTGGCCTTCGGTGAGTGAGCGGATGGTGAAACATTACTAGTTCCATGGGCTGGAGTAGTAGAAGGTTGCTGTTCCATATCACCCCAGTTGTCGGCATCCCAGTCCCAATCGCAATCCGAATTTGCCTTCACCGCGTTTTGCGGATCATGTTCGTGATCGTGATCTAATGACGTCATGCTCGTAGCACTGCTAGTCGTGGCAGTCGTGCTGGCGCTACTTTGTGAACTGCTAGCTTGCTCTGCAATTTTTTTTCTTTGTCAATATCGATTTGAACTTTGACAGAGGCGAAAGAAACAGTAGTGAGTCGTAGGTACCTAAAGAGGCAGGTTTGTTTAGTAAAATCCTAGACGCGTTCGACGATTTCGATGTATCCGATTGACTTCGATAAAACTTGGCGGTAACCGCCGTCACAGCCCAACCGGCCCAAGTCGCTGCCGCGTTGCTAAGACTCGGCGTGGCCGTATTTACATCGGCCTCTGAAACGACAATATTTCGATTATTACTTGCACCGGACGGACGAGCGTACATCTTGACCTGAATGTCTTGTACCCATGGATTCGCGTAATCCAGGATCTTCCGATACTCTCTCGAGCTTCGATAAAAATCCGCGAATAATTCGAAACGCGTTGTCTCTTACTTCCTTGTCAACGTCCGTTGTCAGCGGGCATAAAGCTGGTAATATTCGATTCGCGACTTCCTGCAGCAAGAAGTATTGCTGCGTCGCCGCTAAAGCTAAAATACTTGCTGCCCTAGCCGGTGGGAAAGGATCGCGCGTACCTCGAATAAACGCTCCGATCAATACCTACGACATTAACGATAATTATCTGTAAGCATTCTTAAATCGTAATGATCGTAAATTTCTTGTATCTCATTAATTACTTTTTGCCTTATCTGAGGATGTAGATGTTGAGCAATTTTTCCTAAACAAACTGTAGTATTAGTACGTATGTCGCCGCGTTCATCTTTCGACTGAAGTCTAGCAAAGTACCTTAATGTTTCCACATTAAGATTATTGTAATCTAATTTCGGCGCTAAGTGTACAACGGACTTTATAGTTTGTTCCCTGATCGCACCGTTCGTATCAAGAAAGCCCTTGGCTACCTGCAATTGATATCGAATTATCTCGACGCCATATGAAATTTATGAAAAAAGGAAGAGAGAATGTAACCTGTGGAAAGATAGCTTCGTTCACCGTCGCCGGTTGCAAATGATCGACGAATCGATCGAGTTGTTGCAATAATCGTGATCTCGTCGCCCTGTCGTTCGACGTGAACAATTTAACAACACATGGTACGACTCGTCGTTGATATTCGGCGTCGGGCAATTGGCAGCCGAGTTGCAGTAAAGGAGGCAATACCGCGCTCCCGGCATCGCCGAATTCGAAAGCGGCTAATAGCTGCGGTAAAATTTTATATCTACCAACCCCGTCCGGGAAGGAGTCCAACTGGCCAGCAAGTTGCGCGAAGAATCTACCCTTCTCTCCTTTTTCTTTCATTTGAATCTCCTCTAAGAACAGGAGTGCGTCTACGAGCACGTTTTTAAAAAATCCTCCGTTACTGCGGCAACGTGCTATCACGTCCGCGGGATTCGGCCTTTCGTCGGCATTGCCGCTGGTCAATTCTCGATATATCACTAGCAGTTGCTTTGGTATCTAAGAGAAAAGAATCATTAGAAAAGAACTCGATTTGAACAAAATATATTGCGATAAACTTACCTTGTCCGTAACTTTAAGTTGCATATTTAAACTTAATGGACCGTTGTAAGTTTCCCAGATCAAGCATCCGAGTCCCCACATGTCAACCGAGCTGTTTTTTTTATTTATTCATCAGTTTCTTAGTGTTAACAATAAACCTAAACGTTTATATATAGAGAGGCTAGTATCGCAATACAAGTTTTAGGATAGCAACTATCGTATGTTATTTACCAAACCAAATAAATTTACATTGTCTACATTAAATAAGTTATGGCTATGAAGAAAGGTAAATAAATTATTCTTTTTTCAATTTCGAGTAGAGACTGTAATTAATATGTTTTTTTACCATTTAGTGCTCGGCTTTGCATTCTCTTTCGTATCAGGTGGATGATATATTTGGAATGTCGATGGCAATGCATTGTAAACGCTGTCTACTGCTGTCATATATTCGACTCCACCAAGTTTCCATTCCCCAGTTTCTTCATTGACGAACACCGTCCACAAATTAACATTGTTGTGCCGTAGATTGCCATCATTATTCAAAAAATTCAATGCTCTCTGTTAAATGACAAACGTTTTAATACTTTAAGAAAGGTCGATATAGAATTGTAGCCAGCACGTACAGTGATTTGGAAGAGTCCCCAAGAAAAATATAACTCTCTCTTAGATTCCTCGTCGTTGTTAAACTTTTTCGTTAGTCGACTGTACAAAGGTTCCACGCGTTCGGTTGCTAAATAAAGGACTTTGTCAGTCTGAAAACATAAGTTACTTCAATTACACTGTAAACAGAGAGATTGGTTTTTACTATATACGTTACACGTTTATACCTCGAGACTGTCAAGATACGCAAGTATGCTTGGATGCCTAAGAGTTTTTAATCTTTTTACTGATGAACGAGCTACGTCCAAGAAATGTTCGTTACCGTTTTTGGACTCGAAGACGAATACTGAAACGTCTTCGCCTCCAGCAGAACCCTACGGAAAAAGGAAATTATTTCGAATGGCGAAGATGAAACAGTCGAACAGCTGATCGAATCAATATCTTGGGAGATTTTACGCAAAAGCTTGTGTACGATTGGGTTAGAATACCTTCTTCTTTGCCCTGTGCAACGTCCAGATACTCTTATCGTCTAAACCAGAGATCGGCTCGCCGATCTCGTACGGGAAATCTTTGGCTGGATCTCTCGAGAAGAAGGACCACATTATTACTCGCGATTAGTTAAACTATTAATTCACTGTGAAAACGGGTCGAGTTCATCCTTCGATTCGGTTTCGGCACCCCGTCACGCACGATAACTTAACAGTGACACTGACTGACTCACAGGTCAGGCGTCAGGCCCACAGAACTGAGTAATTAACAGACAGCTACGCATCAACCAGCATCAACTTAGCAGCTGTGTGATGATGTTAATGTCCGTCACTCAGTATGAACGAAATTGGCCCGTCTTTGGTGACAACTTACACGTTCAAAAGCGGGAAAGAGTTCGTCGTCAAGATCAAAGTTACTGCTCTGGCGAGAGGATGTCAGCGTAACTTAGAGCTTGCTATCACGGATAAATACACCGCGGAGAATTGGCAATCGTCGTACGACGCTGCATGTTTGTTCCCTAATTCATATTATACTCCGATAATTAATATTGACGAGGTTATTCTAAGGGATTTAATTTCGTCTCTGATTGGTTTTAAGACATTGAAAATTTGACGCATAAAACTGGAAATTACAAGCATTTCGATGTATTCGTCGCTATGTTGCAATCCGGACTGTTAAAAGTACCTAATATCTTTGTATTCCGAGTTTCTAACGAGTCGAGCCAAATAAAAAGGATTCGATTACAGACAAGTGAATCTATTAGCTTGGACCTTCTCACGTTCGAAGATTTAGAATTGTTACGCGCGCGTAAACTCGAACGAAGTTCGTATTCAAGTTTGGGTAACGCAACGAGCAATCGTCGCTATCTTATATTAACGTACACAGTAGAATTCGACAGGTAAGTATATCCGACCAATTAATAGAGATTGGTATGCTATCAAAGCGTTCCGACATACTTTAAGAATCCATTATCCATTGCCCCTGGAATATTGCGGTTTACCCGATCCAGTAACACTGCAAGCTACTATAAGAAGATTGCAAACGGAAATCGAGAGATTACAATCCGCAGGGGTGAACAGAGAAATGCAGAAACGCATCGAGCAGCTGACAATCACGAATCAAAAGCTCGCGCAAGAGAATTATAAGCTTACTAACGGAGGTAGTAAAGAGAGAAACGGTTTCAGTGTATCCACTTTTCAAATGTACGTTTTACCGTTCAGGTAAAGCTTTAAAGCATTTGTTCGGATCGATTAAATCGTTAGAAAGTAACGTCGTTAAGGAGCGTGCCTCGTTCCGCGCGCAAATTCAGAAACTTAGGGCCGAGAACGCAGCGTTATCGTTAAAAGTGCAGCAGCTTACCGCGTCCGCTAATAGGAAACCTGGGGATGGTAGTCCGGCGTTGAGACGTCGTAATCGAACGCCTTCCACGCGTAGACAGAGCAGAAGTAGATCGTCCTCGATTTCGAGTCGAAATAAAACTTCTAGCTTATCGTCAGGTGTGAACTTAAACTTCATTCCCGCGTTTCTCTTTTGAACTACCTTATACGAATACTTAAATGGCAACAGGTAGTTCTTTGGAATCGATCGGAGTACGATCTCATTCTCGAAAAACGAAAGCGGGTAGCAACAAAGCAAGGAATCCAAGTTAGTGTCGAATGCGTAATGTCTCTGCAAAAAGGAGACTGTGAACTTCCTTTTTTTTATAGAACTCGACTTCGAGAATTTGGAGGCCAGAATTAACTCGTTGCAGAAAATGTTGAAAGAAGGAGTAAACTTGAATTAACGATTTTTATAAAGGACTAACGAGCGTTCAATTTTATTATCATTGTTATTATTGTACCCCTCGCATGTGCGATACAATTGGATTTAAGTAGGGTCACTGCCGCCTGAAATAGTACAACTGGCACGTATTTTATGGATGTAAAGTATTTTTATACGAGACTATGTATTTTCGAGAGCTGTTGATGATTAAAAAAAAGAGAATACGAAACTATATATCTATAAATAGAAAATACTGAGTTATTCACAATGATAATGTATAAAAATGTAATGTATAAAGTGTAATAGATAGTTTCAATTATATACACAGTTTACATACATATATGTATATATGTAGAGAAAGAGAGAAAACTGTCTCTTATTTACACTATGTCACGAATATGTTCATATACTATCACGACGAATTTCAGATGAAATATCAGTTAACTGAGTTTGTCCGTCTTTACATTGTTTTCATAATAAACTATAGCACGTTCAATTATTGACGCTTTATCACCGTCTGGATTGTTACTTTTGTTTGGATTCTCGCTAATATTAGACAGCTGCTGTCCTTGTTCATTTATTTCTATTACTTTTGGTTTCGCAACCAATTTATGCTTTGTGTGTTTCGCTAATTCTTGTACAGCTTCTTCCAAGTACTGGATTTGGTTCTCCTGTCGAGTCGTAACTTGACTCAAATTCTCTATCTGGTCTGTGAATAGTTGTATTTGTGCCAGTCTCGCCTCCTCCTTCTTGGCCTCTTTCGCCACTTGGCGATTGTACTCCAGTATTAAACAACCACCAGCGACACTGAATATGACTACTTCACCCATCAGATTTGCTCCTAATTCTATGGCCATAGCTTCGTTCAACTTCGCAACTTTCGTAGGCTTACCCAGGTTCATTACATACATCTTAGCTTTCACTTCTGCCCAATGATAAACTGTAATCACGAAGATGTATAAAGTTATCCTGCAAAATCTTTGTGGCTATTCTTAACGATGATATCGATCACGATTACATCATTGTACAATCGGGTCTATTTTTATTATTTTTATTCAACACGATTCACTTACATTGAGCGGGTGGTATGATAAAATACGTCCGGAACACCGGGTGATTCTTTGCTTGGTTAACAAGGAATTTCGCAAGTGGTTTACTGATCTGTTTGACGAACAAGACTCCTAATTTGAGAGCCGGGAAAACGCCCACGACCATTTTTCTTCCTCACTTCTCTTTTCACTCTTTACGATTGAAATTCCAAGTTACGTTTCGTACCTCGACTAAAACCTGAGAACCATACATACGAATACACATCTCTGGGACATGCTCGGTCTTATGATACAGGTTACGAATAACACGATCTTTTATCGAAAACATTTGCTCTCGTATATTAAATATTATTCTATCGAATACTAAAAATCATTATGTAAAATAACATCGCGATGACATCGTGTAGAAAGTGGATAACATTCACGTCATTATTTCGAAGCTTTATCAGCATTATCTTACCTCTGAAATTGCTTCAGAGCATAGCAGACGGCCATACTGACTGACAGTGACACGATGGAATGCTATCTGATTATATGCGAATCATTAAACGATGCAAGTCAGTTTTTAAACAATTTTTCATTTATAAATATTTATACGATTTTACGTTAACTACTTTTCAAGTGTCAGGTACGTACATGCATTTAGAACGATCAAGTTGATAATTTCGCAATACGTCCACTACATGATCTAAAGATTATAAATTTCAAGATGTAAATGATAATCGTTGAAAATGCTGTATTATTGATTGTACGAATTATGATAATTAAAATAATACTTTTGAACTTGTGGACTTTACAGGCTGAGCAAATATCCGAAGGACCATATACTTGAATATTTCAAGTAGCAACAGATCTATTAAGACTTTAATTCTTGACCAAAATGTTTATGCACGATGAGTCTAACAGGAATGTAGTATATTATAAAAGGCTGTGCTATAAAAGACTCAATATAATCAGTAACAATTACTTATTTGCGATATGGGGACTGGTAATGCATTTGATATTATTATGGGGTGTACTCAATGCCAATTTCCATTCCCCGATTGTCCAAGGATTGCCAAATGTACCTGTTTTACAAAACGCACCTGCCAAGAGATTGGTCTTGTTTGTAGCAGATGGTTTGCGATTCAGAACTTTCATTGACTCACTGCCAGACTTTCTCAAGTATGTTCACCTCAGGTTTAACTTTTTCTAGATGCTATAATAATTTGTTTCGTAGCGATGTCATGATGCATAAAGGCACATGGGGTGTGTCTCACACAAGAATGCCGACAGAGTCTAGACCAGGCATTGTTGCAATTTGCGCAGGATTGTACGAAGATCCTAGTGCCATATTTAAAGGATGGAAAGAGAATCCTGTCGATTTTGACTCTATTTTCAATCAAAGTCATCGTTCATGGGCCTGGGGAAGCCCTGACATTATTTCGATATTTACGAAAGGTATTATATAATTTATTTATTCCATGCCTTTCGATTTTGGGGGACTCTTTTCACATTATTTTTTCCTAATTTCCTAATTCTAAATTGTCGTTCTCTAATCCTTCTACTTCTTATTCTTCCCTTCCTCTTCCTATCATTCCTGTTTCTTATTTCTGTATCTCCATCATATCTTAATCTATTCTTACTTATCTAAAAATATAATACTCTTTCCCTGTGTACCTAAACTTGAAATTTTTTAAATCCTCTACAAAAAGAACTCTATAATATAATCTCACATTGCATTTCCGGTCTTCCTCACGAAAGGTATTATATGAAAAATATTAGACTGTCGTTCTTACGTAAAAAATTAAATTATCAATATAGGAGCGCTTTTGGAAAACATACAAGGGTATAGCTATCCTGCCGAATGGCAGAATTTTGATATAGCTCACGGACAGATTTGGCGCTTAGATTCTTGGGTATTCGATAAGTACGTCGACTGGCTTAGAGCAGAGGCTCACAAAGTTAAAGATACCGAGCGCATCGTTTTATTCCTTCACCTTCTTGGATGTGACACGACTGGCCACGCAGCTAAACCCTACTCTAAGTATTAAAACATTTCTGTACACGTATTCTTAGATTGAATTCGGCAAGGCACGAACTGGCTCGATGCTAGTGCTGTTTCAAATGCGACACAAGTGCAACATAGAATCGGTTACGTATGACACTGGTACATCATAGAATTGGTACACCACTAAAATGAAAATTACATTAAAATAGTGCTGACAATTCTGATAAGTCTGTTGCATTGCATCAGGGCAATATCGTTGAATAAAGTATAAAACTTGCATGCAACATACCCGAATATGACGATTGGACTGGAAGAGAGAACATGAATCAAATGCACCGAAAAAGTTCGCACTGAGTGCGGAGTAATGCAGACTGCCGAATTCACTATTAATGAGGATACTTCGAATTTGATGAAATTTTTAAAGAAATTGTAATCTGAATTACATTTTAATGCAGAGAATATGTTGATAATATGAATTATGTTGATCGGAAAATAAAAGGAGTTGTTCGAATGACGGAAGAGTTTTTCGGGGACAACGCAACTGCTTACATTTTCACATCTGATCACGGGATGACTGATTGGGGTTCGCATGGGAGCGGTTCTACGGATGAGACCGAAACACCGTTTATTGCCTGGGGCGCAGGTATCGGCGCGCAAAATATTCGTCAAGATATAGAACAAGTCGACGTTACACCATTAATTTCGTCTTTAATCGGTGCTCCGATTCCAGCTAACAACGAAGTGCGTATAAGAATGATGTCCGTGTTATGTTGGTTCCGCACTATCCGTAGCGGGTCTGAATCGTACCAGCTCCTGTACGGATAATACGGATACATGTTCAATGTACTAGTTCTGATGCGTCTACATATTTTTAGGGTGTTGTACCGTGGCACTATTTAAACGCTACTGATATCAAGTACGTGAATCGTGCGCTATTCAATAATTTGAAACAGTTAAATTTTCAAGTGAAAGCGATGAAAGAAATGAGCTGCAAGGATAGGAGATACGCGGATAAGCGAGAACAGGAAGTAGATAAGAAAATTTCTCATTTGTACAAGTACGTTGAGACAGGTATTCCGGACGAGAACTTAAATGAAATAGTAGATACGATTAAATCAGCTAAAGACGTATTGAAGTATTATCGGCAGTACCAAAGGACGCAGTTCTTATTATATTTATCTATGATGTGGATAGGATGGATAATAGTGTTGTTCATGAAGATGTCTTGTGCTAAACAATCTTCTGTTCAGTACGGCTATGTATTTCTAACAGACGTTTTATTCTTTTTTTCAATAATTTTGATACCTGCTATGCACAAAAGTACGTTATATTCTACTACCGTAGTCACTGGAAAAAAGTGCATTTTTAATTTTGTGTAAACAGTTACAGGTTGCAACAGTTGGAGATTACCGATTTATGTACTTTTTGCAATATTCTCTTTTTGGCAAGTGATTCGCAGCGCGCTCGTATACTCAGTAAAACTGAAGCTTTATAATACCAAGTATTATTGGATAATAATGACAGAGATAGTTTTGTTATTAGGAACGATGTTCATTGGATTAACATATAGACCTGTCTTTGGCATAGGAATGTTATGTGTTATCCTTGCCCATGAAATAGTATTAAAGAATTCTGTAAGTCTATTTCTTTGGACAGCTTTATGTCTAGTTGCGTTCCCGTTTCTACCTGTTGTAGAACCGTATCCTCGAGTGTACATTGTGTAAGTTCTAATTGATATTCCAGTTGATATTTTATTTCAATGATAAAATTAATTTAACGTAAACATGATAATATATTGTTTTTAGGCTCTCAAGCATATGCGTCGCAATTGTAACAGTTGTATTGAAATGGCAATCAAAATGTCGAAAAATAATCGAAATATTCAGACTTGCGGTCACGGGATTGATATATTTGGAATTCATAGACGGCCGAAGTTGGGCGTCGTGGGCAATTTTGTTAACGACACCGTTAGACATTTTCACTTATTCCACGCGATTAAAAATAAGAATGCAAGGAATCATTCTGGGTTTATTTTGCCCACTCGTTCTGTTATCAGCTTCTTATGAACCGTTCTTTTTCTTGATATTCGCGTGCCATTTATACTGTTGGCCACAAACTATCACGGTTCAAACTGATCAAAGTATTAAAAAATCTTTGACTATCGAGGAATTGCTTAAAGCAGCAATTTTTGTATCCTTCGATAATACAGCGTTTATACATTGTTTCAATAAATTGTTCTTAAATTGTATCCTTAATGATTTATCGTAGATGTTTTATACGTTGTTGTGTTTCTTTGGAACCGGAAACATGGCAAGCATCAGTTCATTCGATCCTTCTTGGACTCGACATTTCGTGACGGTTTTCTCACCGTTTACAATGTTTCTGTTGATACTTTTCAAGATCAGCATACCATTGATGCTGATCGGATGCACAGGTCATACCCTTGGAACCACAAATATTTTCTTGGGGGTGCTTCTGTTAGGAGATTGTTTATCGTTACCTCTAATGTATTACGTTACTCCCGAAGGAAGTTGGCTAGATATCGGCAGTGCTATAAGCAGATTCACGATCGCTATGTCTCTTCCGTGTCTCATAGTATTATTGCATTTTCTTTCATATCCTCTCGTCACATTTTCACCGAACAAATTCAAATTTTACGTCAATTTGCAGAAAAAACATATTGTATAAACCGACTGATTTATGAGTGTATCTGTTAAGAATAGCAAATACAATAATCTTCTTTACGTGACGTAATAATGGCCTTCTTTTTTTAATTGATGTGTGCTCCTGATAAAATTATGAAGCAATACAGTATATTAATACTAGTAGTGTATTAGTTAAAAACTTGTGGATACACGAGACATTTATTAACATTATATCATTTTTATATCTTTCAGGTAAATGATCACTTTTATAACGTGGCAATTTAAAACTTGAACTCTTTGTATTTCTTCGAAGTTTTCGACTCTTGTCCTTGTTGCCGTTTGCGTTTACTCTGGAAAAAGAACGAGGCGCTTTAATATGTCAATTAATCGATCAGTTGACATACTCACTTTTTGTCGTTGCACGTGATCCTGAAGCATGTCGGATAAGTCCTCTCTCCTCAAATGTGCTTGTCTCGATCTCATTGTCTCTTCATACCGCGATGCCATCGCCTCGGAATCTAGATCAAGTTCGCTGGGATCTAATGCTAATTCAACGGCACCGTCTTTCTCTGTCCTTCCATCGGATGTGGTCCCGCTCGCTCCGCGCCTCGCAGCGATTACAGACGGCGGTGCTTGCCCTCCTGCAGCGCCGGTCATATCGTACACGTGCGTGCTGCCCATCATGCTCGCCCCAAGACCATCCGTTCGCCTCTCTTGCAAAACTGTGTACAAAGCCGGGGTGTCTCCTCCTTCCATTTCGCTTTCGATTTTCTTCTTCCTCAATTCTATCGTCTCCGGAGTCTCTAATCCCGCAGGAATCGACGTGATTCCGCTGGGCGTTATCAAACCTTCAGCGCCAGGAGTGACCAGGCCACTCGCGTCTCCGTCTCCGTCCTTTCCTTCTCCCTCGCCTTCTCCGCCTTCTTCTGCATCCTCGTCCTCATCCTCATCTCCGGAGGACTCGGACTCGGGCTCGCCCCACATGCCTCTATCGATTTCCTCGTCCATGTTATCACCTCCGGGAGTACGCGATATACCGAATACGTCCCCGTACAGCGGTCTTCCCGTTTCGTCCACAGGTGGTTTTCCCCAACCGCCGGCGTGATAACCGAACGCGCAACCCTCGGGAATCGGCGCGTTCAAACCGGGTATCTTCAAATTCGGGTAACTCGGTGGTGGTCCGTAACGTTGCATAGCGATTAACCACGGTGGTGGCACTTTGTGACAATTAGGTCCTACCGGCATACCGAGCGCCGTGCGCAGTTCGTCGGACAATTCCCCGGGCTTCTTCTCCTTCAATCGAGTCTCAAACTCTTTACCCTCGTAATACAAGTCACCATGGATAGTCATACGAGGTTTAGTTTGCCATTTAAAGAACGCATCGTGCAGTTTCTGATAGTCGATGTCTATCTTGCCGAGCTTCGGCCTTGCCCTTTCTCGCATCTTAGCCTTCAACGTGCGTGTGTCGTCCCGCTCCTGGAGGCTCGCTCTCATCTCCGTGATGCCTGTACGCTTAATGAAATCTGGTAGATCGAAGGGAGGCTTCTCGATTCCGCGTTTTCCTTGTAGATACTTCCTCTTGAAGCACCAATGCCTCGGTACGGGCACCGTGTTACGATGAGCTTTCAATTGTACAAGCAGCTTCGGATCTCGCGCGGTGACGTCATGCATCTCCACAACGTCGGGACGTCCTACCAGCTGTTTCAATTCCGCGACGCTTAAACGCGTGAGCCTCTTCAATTTTCGTTTCGACAACCGCGGAGCACCGTTCTCGCCTGTTCCCTGTTGCTGTTGCTGTTGATTCGCGTCGTCGTCAAAATCGTCCAGTGGTGGCACTTTACTAGGTACCGTTCCTGCCGTTTGCAGCGTCGCCACTGGTGGATACTGTCCGATCGGTTCTCCCTTTTCGGCTTCTGCCGATTTCGGTTCTGGTTCTGTCAGCTTGAATGCCTCGAAAATTCTGGCGAATTGGCGATACATCGGTTCTAAATCGTTAATGCTAGGGATCTCCTGAATATATTCGATCTCAGGTAAATCCTCTTTCTGTTTTGAATTCTCCGCATTTTCTTTCTTGCTTTCTGCCTCTTTGCCCGCATTGTGCTTCTTTCTTTTTTTCTTCTTCTTCTTTTTAGCCTTGGTCGTTTTTGTGTCCATTTTCTCTGTTGCTGTTTCAGGTTCAAGTATAACGTCTTCCATTGATGTCACATCTTCTCCTACAGTCTCATGATTAGACAACTTCCCTAACGAGACTAAGTCATTTGGATCTCCTCCTACTTCCTTGGCCCTTTCATTTTTAAATGCCAGAACTTGTTCCAAAGCTGCTGGCAGTTTTACAGCCTCAGTGTCACCATCTGGACCATTATCACCTGGTATACTTGGGTTTTGTAATTCGCTCGGTGGGCTTACTTTCAAGCTAAGCAAGCTGGGTAATGTCTTTGGAGGATCTATCCCAGGTACTCCAAGGCCACTGTTTGGGACCATATTCATCAAAGGTGGCATTTGTTGTGCCTGTAACAACAACTATTATGTCTCAGTAAAAATATAAAAAATGACACAGTAAATTAAAAATTCCTATCAAATGGAAACAATACTAACCTCGTTGCCAGCCATCTTCGTTGTTTTCTTCTCCTCTCTTTTTAAGTATCGTACGAAAACGTAGCTTTGAACAAAGACTTTGAAGATCTTTCAATCGTTTCGAATAATTAGTTTACTCCATATATAATATTCTCTCAACAATTATCGAGGGAAACCATATACATGGTTGCTGCCAGTGCCCAATTACCAGTCAGTAACAGTCAGTAATGTCAGTATCATGGACAATCATGGACCTAAAGGACGGAGCTGGGGGATGACACTCAATATATTTTTTGTTAGCATGGCTTTCAGCGCCATTCAGTGGCACGCAGTCTGACTCAGTTCACGCATTACTGTGAAAACTCACCGTGATAGTGATTTTGGGAACGAACGTGATCGAAATCGAATCACGAGCAGAGATGAAAAGGGCATGGACCAT